GTGAAGAGAGAGCATTTTGCACTGGCTCTGCTTTCCATTTCTGTTGAGCCTTTGTACACCACCTTGCATCCCATTTGTTTTGCTTTGTGCATCACCTTAATACAAAACCAAAGTAGCATCTGTTCCTTCCTACAGCATCTGAACATGAACCAGAAAGGCAGAAAGAAAGAGAGAAAACAAGCTAAGAGTCTGAAGTATCAGAAATTTCCAGTCTATCTACCAGTGCTGATGTGGCTTGTAATCCAGAGAGGACTGGAAGCAAGTTGTTTTTTTCTGCAAGCTGTCAAAGCTGATTAAATTATTTCAGATGAGAATTTTCTCCCACTGGATTTTAATCAATGAAATGATGGTATAAATGCTCTTTTCTGTGGTTTGACATCATTGTGACAGTCTGGAGAATAATCAATAGAAACGATAAGGATGGTTACCACTGACTAGTTTATTAGCATTATCAGTTTCACAGTAACTGACCTTTTCCCTCTCCACCTCACTTCTCTTCATCTGTCATGTTTCATTTTGTCAGATTGATCTCCTTTTACCATAACAGTTGGTATGTGGCAGACTTCAAATGCTAATCAGCCCTTACAGTTTCCCACACGGTGCTGAGAAACTACTAGCTGTATTTAAAGAAAAATGGGAAAGTTATTTCTAATTGGGTCCTCCTGAGAGTGTTATAAAATATAAAATGTAACTTGCTACTAGTACGCATTTTATTTTGAAATACTAAACAAATTTTTAAATTACATGATCAATATTTATTACCAATAAAGAAGTTGCTACTGTCATTTAAGAAAATCTGTTCATTATGGAATTAAACTCACAGAAATTTACGTAGGTTTTTTTTAGATTATGATATTAACTGTACTTGTATATGTGTCTCTAAAACATGGTCTGATTGTTGTAGGACGTGATTTCTTAACAGTAATAGAAAAGCATGTTTGGATGTGTACCCATGCATCCACAATCACAGCTTCAGCTCTCTTGTGCCATGCACAGCAATCTGGCTGGGAAAACTACAGCATCTCCCTTCCACCCACGGTAAATCTGCACCTGAGACCCTTTACCTATAGTTTTTATGCAAGCATAGTCATGTAAATAGTCCCTATTGAAGTTTTTATGGCTATATAGATGGGAGGCTTATGTATTTAAAATTAAATAGATTTTATTCCCTAAGACATGGCACTTGGATGATGAACTGTTTGTTGTTCATCTGATGGGTATGATGTGCACCTGTGGCTTGTTTCCTTAATCAACTTCTCCCATCAGTGAGATTATTCTAAATAAGCTACAGCACACCTCTGCTAAGTTTGAATGATATGCATTTTTTTTATCTTATCACTTATAACGTTCCATGTGTGAAGTTATGGTTTGCAGTAAAATGAATAACTACTGTTCTTAATTCGTGCTTCTGATCTACCATAATGGGAAAAGAAGTCATCTTAACCTCATTGCAAAATAAGTCCTAAGGGAGCAGGACTTGGCCTTTGTCATAAAATCTGCATATTAATAGGTCAAAGGTCTTCTCCACCCTTTCAGTACCCCATTGTGGCTGGCATTTTCAACAGAACACATGTGGAGGAAAATAAGACACAATTACTAAGAAATTAACAGCTGAAAATGGGATATTGATTTGAACTGCAGACACACATGATTTGGTTTTCTGTCTTTCATCTAATTTGGAATCACCTTTTGTGGTGGACTCCTGAGTCTGCTTTCAAATCCTGACTTGCTTAAGGTTAACGTAATCTTAATATAATAGTTTCGCCTTATGATCTACCAATAGTTGTTTGCCAGCGTGAAATCAGTGTATCAGGCTATCCTGGTCATTCAAAACCGTCAGAGCTCAAGATGTTCAGTTCAGATTGGCATGTTAAATAGGTAAGCACAAGGATATTGCCCCTGAATTTTTTGAAATTTTGAAAGATTGAGGTACACAGGAGCTGCTTGAGTGCCCACGTAGGTATTTAATTTTGCAACTTAGAGCATCCAAAATTCATTTAAATTCACATACTCTTTTAGTGTCAAACATTGCTTATAAACCTATTTAGCTGATCAGATGTTGGGTCTGGACATGTTAAGGCAGTCTTTGATGACACAGGGTAGGTGGGTGCCCTGCCTTATGTCTGCTCTGTCAGAGTCTGCCGGGGGGGGGGGTTCCCTGTTGCATTGAATGCGCGTTGCTGGAGCCCACGCGTGGAACGTGACAGCAGCATCGACCCACATCATTCAGCAGCACAGTGGCTACAGTGCTCTCTCAAAAGAGCTCAGGCGTACTCCACACTGTTTTTTCTACAATTATTCCAGTAAGTTTAAGCTGTGCGATGAAACTGTGTTCTGGGACAACTTTGTCCATAATTGTTGCTCAGTTTTCCCTTTCCTTTTCCTTAAGGAAAGCTTGAAATCCAGTGAAGTCCATGTGGAATTGCCCTGGAACACTTTGACTAAAATGAAGATTTTTTTTTTTTTTTAGAATAGAGGAGGACAGAACAAAGGGCATTTCTGGCATTTGGGAGAGGTATTCCTGGGTTTGGCATAAGATTGCATAGGTTCAGAAAGATTTTGGAGCACATTTAGTGACATTTGTGTGTTATTAGATTTTCTCTATATAACTTATGACTAAATAAAAATTGATTTAAAAGCAAACCTAGCATCCCTAAAAACATCTCAGTGCTTTTTTGGTGCTACATTGTAAGTTTACGGACAAAATACATCTTGTATAGTAAAAACTGTTCATTCTAACATCATGCAACTTCAGTAATAGAAAGAGTTAAATTATTAATTTAGCTAAATGTTCACTAGATTTACTTTTTACTGCCTTCTGTGCATCAAGATTCCTCTGAAACCTTTTCTTCTTGGCTATGCCACATTTCCCCATGTGCACATAAAACGCTAATGTCTAAGATTCATCAGTCTAAAGCTTCCCTCCAACACATCTTTTTTTAAGAAATTAATTTAAATACAATATTGTGTTTCATCTAGGTAAGATTTTATATCCACATTGAAGAAGTTTGCTCAGAGAAAGGAATTATGAGCATTTTTCTATGCGTTTCCCCCCCCCTTGTTTTTGGATGGGGTACCATGTAGAAAGTTGAGGGTTGTTTTTTTTTCAGTGAGGAAAAAAAAAAGATCCTTCTGGTTAGAAAAGAATATGAAAAATTATTTGATTATGTTATCTGGCTGCTGTTTATAATATACAAAACAAGCTGTTTTCATTTAGACTAAGTTATTTATATAAATTACTTGTAGATACACAGGAAAGTGTCCCTGGGCTTCTGATACTTGATATGACAGGCTCCTACAGAAAGGTGTTTGTTTGACCTTAGTGTCTGAGACTTAGTAATTATCTTTTTCTTTCAGTACTTGGGTTTTAAAGAGCTATCAAAGTATAACTTGTGTGAAGGACTTTTTGGTTTTATTTTTGTCGTTTTTAAAGAAATCATCTTAAGATCCTTTAGTTTACTCTTCTAGATCTAAACTTACAGCTTTCTTTTTATTCCATGCTTCTTTCTATGCTCTGTGCGTATTAAACTGTCTGTTTTTCTTCTCCATTAAGTTTCCTTTTAGCAAGAGCTATGTTTCATCAGCATATCATTGTCCCACTTCCTCCCCATGTACTTCTTCAAACTGAAGCTCATTTAGGCTAGTACTGCGCATCTTGGAAGCGTAGGCTCCCTATCTGTGCTGACAGGCAAACAAAGGATCCCTTAATACTTTTCACACGTGTGCAAACTACACACACAATCAAATTGAAGGGGAAAATAGAGGTCATTAAATTGATATTACATGTCATTATTGTATCTTGTCACATCAACCCTCAGCAATTTACCAGGCTTAGGATATTGGGGACCACAATGGGGCTAATTAACGGGCAGTGTGCTTGTTTACTTTAGAATTTCCAAGTGTCTCATAGGTGACAAAATCTAATTATTTTGATATTTTATTAAGTGGTTTGTCAGCCATTATATAATTACTTCTTCTGAAAAAAGCGATCTGAAAATTATGGATATCAGGAAGGTAGAGCCTGTTGATATTTTTTTGTGAGAACAACAATTGCAATGTAAGTCTTGAGGAGAGAGGAACAGATGGAACAGTATTGTGAGACTACAGTGAATGTTGTTTTTCCTACTGTGTACAATTATATGTAATTAGATCTGTCCTTTTTTTATTATGCTGTCTAAAAAAATTAATTCTACCTATCTAGGTACTGAATGAGCTTGTAAATAAGATAGCAAGATCAACATAGTCTGAAGAAATAATTAGTAACAATTTAACAGAAATTGTTCTGTTCAGGCTAAATCAATAGTAATGGAGATGAATAAATGGGTGGAAACCTTAAGTAATTACAAATCCTTTAAATTATTCTTGAATTAGAAAGCAGGAGAAAAGAACAGATTTAATTACTTTTATAGATGCATGAGAAGAGAACTTTCTGAATTCTCTCTTTGTTCTTTCTTTTCTAGAATACACTTTTTTAGGCAGCTGGTATTATGTTTCCTGTACCTTGTTGGACTTTTTCTGCGACTCAGTTAGCTAGGCTAGACGTACCAACTCAGATACTCTTGTTTTTTCCCCAAAAATGAGTTACAAACATTAATGGGAAGAAGCAGACTTCTTACTGTGTTAACTAACTTCTGTCCTCTGGTTTCAGACTGCTTATTTTTGGCACAATTCTTATTTTTTGCATCACTCTCAGGCAAGACCATTGTTCTTTTTGGTGTTCTGTACAGTAGAGAGGAACTTTTAAGAATAATAAATTTACCTTTATTTAATGGAAATGTACCAGTATGTTTAGGTGGGGCATGTAGTTTAAAAAAAAAAGGTCTAATAGTCTGCTTTTTTATCTGTATGCACCATAGAAAGTTCTACTTTGATGTGTGAATATACTGTCTAGATTGTACTTTTTGCATTATTGTTTTTAATTTTAGTTGCAGAAGTATTTTCTCATGGACCTTCGATATGTATTCCAGTATCTTTAAAAGATCTGATATCTTCACAGTGTTTTTTCTATATTTGTAAGCTATGGTGTTTCAAAAGAGTTATTAGCTTTATGATGCATCACAAAGAAGAGAAATCCTTAAAGGTCGAAGAGGTGTCAAGATTGGCTCTAAAGATACTATCAGCTAAATTAAAGCAGAATAAATTGGAAAGCAGCTACCCTTTGGATCACCATGGAAATGCAAAGGTCAGAGAACCTTAACCTAGGGAGAGCTGCTGAGACTTGGGGAGCTCTCAAAACCTAACACTGGTATTTTGGTGTTCTTGACCTTGAGAAGCAGCATTAGAAAGATTCTGCATTAAAGCATTTGCTAATTGACCTAAATGCTTGCTTGGTATAAACTATTCTGAGTTATTACTGAAGAAGACCATTATCAATCAAAAGCAATGAATGACTGAAGTAAAAGAACAAAAATGAAACCTTCTCAGTTACTGTTTTGGATTTATAGACCAAGGAGAGATTGACTCAGTCTTTAAAATAAATGGATGACTTAATTTTGTTTAACCTGTCTTCCTTCTTTAGCTGGAAAGGCAACTACTGATGCAGAACCAGATGAGAGAGAGACAAACAGCCATGCAGATTGCTTGGACACGGGAATTTCTCAAATATTTTGGGACATTTTTTGGACTTGCTGCTGCAGGTTTAACAGCTGGGTATGAAGTTTATTTCCTAACAGAAAATAGAAATATATTACATTTATATTTCTATGATGCAGGATCTTCCTTTTGCATTATAACAGGTAGTTATTTTTATCCAGTAACTGCTCAGAGGTTGATCAGATGACAAAGTGACTCTCATTTCTGTCTGCTTCCAGATGTGTTTTGGTTATGTCTGTGCTGCAGACTTACATAAAAGCAGAGACATGTGAGCTGACAATGAAATGATACAACTGAGGTACCAAAAGTTCAGTGTAAAATAAAAGTTGTGTGTGGAACAGGAGGGATTGTTTAAAAGCCATGCTCTTCTCTTGTCAGTATTGTGATTTAATGAACTATTAATGAGCAACAAATCCTCCCCCATCTGGGGTTTTTTAATATGTCAGTGAGCAAGTGGTCATATTCTGAAACCTGTTTACTTAAAATTTGAATCAAGAAACTCACCGAAGGGGAAAAACCCCTGGCTAATAAAGCTGTATTGCATGGGGAAGAACTTGCTTTATAGGACTTTTGTTTGGTAACATGTTTTTCTTGTGCTATAGCATGATTAGAGGGAATGTAGGAAATATTTGTAGTTTTACGTACATAGTACAGATTAAATGCACCTTATGCATTATGCATTCTCTGTGGACTCAGGTGCATTTGGTACTGAACATAGTATCTTGATTGCTACATGTTGCATGTGGCTGGATGGATATATGCATGTGCACATGCATGCTACACGAGTTAGATAATCCCATTTTTGTTAGAAGTATTCAAAACTCACTTGAAGCTTTTTTTTTTTAATACTCTTGGGTTGACAGTTGAGCAAGAAGGCAACCAGAAGACGAATGCTTCTGAGGAAATTAAGAATTTTTCTTCTTTGATAAGGGAGTGTAGAAGGATACACAAGTCCTAGACAGTCAAGGTCAACATAAACTAACAGTGCTGATGTGCTGAATGTCCTAAATAATCTTATTTTTTCCTTCTTTTTTTTTTTTTTTAAATAGAGCAATAAAAAAGAAGAACCCAGGAGTTTTACTGCCAATAGTTCCCTTAAGCTTTATATTTGCCTATCAATATGATATGGGCTATGGGACACTGTTGCAAAGGATAAAAGGTATGTGTATATAAGTCTGTCTGGGTCACACATATAACCAAGCTTATGTTTTTAGAATGGCTGGGAGGAAACTTGCAATAGATTTTCTTCTTTTTTCTGGAAAAAAAATCTTACTCTTTCATTTATTTTCTTCTCTGTTACAATCAGATACTTTCCCAGTCAAGAGTACTCCCTCTACTTTTACAGCCTTTCCCTCCAGTTAAGACTGTTTGTTAATTTCTCCTCTCGTTTCAAAAAAATGTGAATTCTAAGGCTATAAATACAGGTGAAATGAGCATTGCATATTTGGGAGAAATGACAGATCTAGTTATTTCCTTCCATATTCCACTCCGATGCTGCTGTTTTGGCAAGGGGTGGGGATGATAAAAGCAGATAAAGAGATACAGACAGGAGTCATGCCCTTATACCTTCATGACCAAACACAGTCGTCAGCTGATCATCTTGCCACAGTGCCCTTCTAAGATGGAAAAAAGAAAGGTAAGTCTCAGGAAGTGGGGTCTCGCCTCGTTGCCAGTGGCAGATCTGATTAAGTGATGGGTGTTAAGGATTACGGAGGTGCATTTATGTGAGCTCTGATTCCTAGTGAAGGAGGCGTGCTAAGAGAGTGTTCACTGTAAGTGAAGACAGCATTGGGCCATGGCTTGTCACCTTCACAAATCATCTTAGTTAACTAGCTTGATTTTCCTGTCTGCTACTGACACAAACATAGTGAAACAAAATAAAAATGTTTCAGCTCTTGGTCTTAGCCTCCAGATCCAAGAGCTCAGTTTCCTAACCCTGTGTACTTCATTGAAAATAATGATAGATTAATTAGACAAACTCTGAGATATTTCCTGCTGCATACAGGTGCAAATATATTTAGGTGATGCAGCAGTGTATATGTGCAAACATTTCCTAAACCCCACTAAATAAATTTCTTTGGATTTTGATATGAAGAGGCAGTTAAGCACAGGGAGAAAAACTGGGTGGCTCTTGGAAATCAGTGTTGAAAAGGAGATTAGTACATACAATGCAGAAGGCACACTTGGAATTTAGGATTTGTTAATTTTTTTTTTAAAGAGGTAATTTTCATTCCAGAATTTTGAAAGAGTGAGCATTTCATAATGCAAACCCCATGGCGAGGGTATGTAATGTGTTTACTGAGGACCATGTGGTCCTGTATAGGTTGGAGAGGGGCAATGTGGTATCCTATTGCTTTCCAAATAGGAAAAGTCATCTTCATAACTTTAGATCCAGTAGGGCAACTTCAGCAGTAGGCAAGACTTGTGAAAAGGTTTTGGAGAAAAGAAGCTATGGAGCCAAATGGACAATAAGATAAAATTAAATATGCCAAACTAACTCTGTCTTTTCCAGGAAAATAATTTCTCTTTTCCAAAAGAAATGTGATAGATCTACTATAAACTCATGAAAGCATTTAGTGTGGTATCACATGAAGATTAAGTTAGCATGAAGCACATGGAAATTAGTAGACAGGTAAGCATTGGAGTAAAGAGAAGATGTCAAAGGTTTGTGCTTAAAGAGGAAGGCTAGGCTTTAGCAGGGTTATTAGCAATATTCCTCAAGATTTGGTCTGCATCTGCTTTTGCTTTGTATTTGAAATTATGAGTACGTTACACCAATCAAATCTGTGGATGACAAACTTGATTGGTGTCTTCAACAGAGAAGAAATAAACTGTAGTACAAGAACTGATGACCTGAAGAACTGAGATAATATAGGATTCAATATGATAAGAAGGTCAGCGAGAAGCTAGAGACTAGTAGGGTTTTCTATCATCAGAGCCCACCAGCTGGAAATGATAGAAAAAGGGAAAAACCTGAATGTGTTAGGTGATCACAGAATGAATGTAATCCAGTAGTGTGATGAAATTATGAGAGTCAAGCAAAGTCTAGAATCAAGTGAGGTTTCCTAGTATCATAGCATGGTTGAGGTTGGAAGGGACCTCTGGAGGTTGTCTGGTCCAACCCCCCTGCTCAAGCAGGATCACCTAGAGCTGCTTGCCCAGGAAAATGTCCAGATGGCTTTTGAATAACTCCAGGGATGGATATTCCACAACCTTAGTACAAATAGAGAGTAGAGATAGGAAGGTATTGATGCAGGAAAACACTAATACCTTCCTTGGAAATTTATACATAATTTGGATCACTTTTGTATAAGGAATCTAGAATTACTGAAGAGTTAAAATTATCAGGGGATGCCGAGCTGCCTTGCGAGAGAAAACAAAGTGATTAGTTTGCTTAGCCTTGTAAAAAGACATGAGAGATTTGGGTCTACAGATTGTACTTACAGGATAGGATAAAGGAAAGTAAGAGAAGGAAATTAAACTAATTACTAATATCAGCATACTAATAATTACTAATATCATGTTGTTATTAGAATAAAAGGAATTCGACTAGCCTGAATGAATCTTGGCTGGAAATCAGAAGAATGTTTGTACTTATGTGGAAGTCAGGTTCAGGAGTTCATTTTTATTTTAAGAATAAAATTAAGTAGTTGAAGAGAAAGTTTTATGATGCAATTGACCTGCAGCCACAATGCTTGTTCTTATTACTCAGCTGATCCCTGTGTCCACTTCCATACTACTTTCTCAACCACTTCTCTGCTTGCCCGTGTATTCTGTTGGTGCATGCCATGCTTCATCTCTGTGGTGTCATAATGAATGTATACACCATTCCCTTTATTGTTCCCTCTTTAACTGGTCTCTTTCCTCCAGGGTATGCCTATCTTTAGCCTCATGGCCAATTCCCTCTCCTAAGCTAATCTGCAATTATTTCCGTGCTGCACAATCTTTCTTGAATCTGAACCACGTTGATCAAATAGCCTGGCATCTGCTGTCCTTCATTCTTCGGAATCAGTTTATACCCCTGGAAGGTTTCTCTATTTCTCTTTCACCAGGCATTTTGTGTCTGACCTTGCTTACAGTTAACTTTTTCTTCTGTCTCTAGCCTACTTGTCCAAACATTTTCTCATTACTTGCTTATTCTTCCACATTGAAATCAGAGAGGTTTTTTTCCTGCTTTATAGCTTGGGCTAATTAAAGCAGAAACTGAGGACATGGGGGGAAATACCCGTTTTTAGTTCTGCTTGTGCTACTGAAAAGCCATTAAGTGTGCCAGGGCCAGGTATCAGAACTGAATCTTTTGGGGATGGCAGGGTTACAGAACAGCCCTCAGGTGCACTGTCTTTTCTGAATGGCTGAGGACAGTAAGAATCAGTCACGGACCTGCTATCTGTGTTCTTGGCCTTGCTGTTCTGCTTTTTCTCCCAGTCCAGGTACATACTGCTGGTGCCTTTCAGACAAATTATTAGAGGAGGGGAGAGATTATATAGCCAGCCCCCAAGTGCACAGAACTTCTCCACTAAGCAATGAAACTCTGGCTACCTTTTCCAAGATTTAGATAGCTCAGTGCTTGTATCCTGAGCCATCTGAGAAGGATGGTGACTCGGCAATCTGCTCTAGTGCATGTGAGTGACAGGCATGGAGATTTGACTATAATATCTCTCTGTCACCTAAGATCTCTTGCTAGTCCATAATCAGATGCTCTATGCAACTGACTGACATTGTGTTACTACCGGTTACGGGAAGTGGTGACTGGTGTCGTCCTGTTGGATACTACTGATGTATGGAGACCCCAAGCACTCTAATACTACCAAAACTGCAGTTGGAGATTTCAGCATACAGACCTGTTTTACAGAATGACCACAATCTTGACTGTATTACAATATTCAGTCAGGATCATCAAGCTAGGAGTTAAGGCATAGGTAAACAAGATTGTTGGCATTGTACCAAATGGCATCAGCCAAAACAAACATGTTCTTTGCCTAGTCTTCATCCTTTCTTATATCACAATCAGACCACCACAACTTATGTATGATGTTCAATCTGTATCTTTGTTTTTTGGATTCTCTGTCCTAGATGTTTTCATTCCAGCCTACCCAGAGCATTCTGCACCCTACAACTTTTCCCTGCTATGCTGTTAAGACTGCATGTTTAGGTTACTGTCTTAGCAAATCTTTTTGTGAGCAGTATGCTTTGACCAATGCTGCTTCAAGTCCTGTGCAACCCACTTTTTGCATGTAGCCTGACATCTTTTAGCCTAGGCCTGAGACAAGAAGAAAAATTGTGCCCAAATATGGCATGTCTAGTACACTGTGTACAGGGAATTTACTTGTTAAAGCTTATGTATGCTTTTATGTGTATGTGTGATTCACCCTCTTCTCAGACTCCTAATTGGTCAGATACAGTATGGGGTTGGTACAGAGTACATGGTGATGCCAAGTCCTTGCTGTATCTCATGCCTCCATTCCAAAGCATGCATGTAATAAATCTCCAAACAAAACATTACTATAACTCAGTGTAGTTTTTAGGAGAAAGGGGCTAACAGAAACAGCAATAACAGCACAATTGATTGTTTTGGCCCAAGTTCTTTCAAACAAATGCAGCCTGAGGCAGATAATTCAGTTCAGACCAAACACTTCCATGTGCAGTTATCCCACCAGTCCAAAATTCCTTAAAGACAACTTTAATGCTACCTTGGCATCAGCTCGTTTGAAAAATGCATAGCTGTCACCTAGTATTTTGTTGTTCTGGCCCAAACAAGAATAGCTTAATCAGTTTTTGGTTTTTGGTTTTTGGGTTTTTTTCTACTTCCTTTGCTTTCTTACAGTAAGGGTGAGGAAATTAATTTCTTTATTTTTTAAGGTGAAGCAGAAAACATACTGGACACACAGAGCACTTTGCTAGAATTGCCGAAAGGACCGCTTACTTATGAAGACCTGGAGAAAATCAGAAGATCTCAGAGCAAGTTCTTCATAGAAAAATAGGAAGATGGTATTAAAGTTTAATATCTGAAGTGTGATTGTAATACTGGCTTTGGACATAAATGAATCATTAAAATTTTGAGAAAATTATGAGCTTTTATAAAATCAAAATACAATTCATTTTTTTAAATCAGTACTTTCTAAAGTGATGATTTTCATATTGTATGTATCTCTTGAAAATATCCATTGTTGCTGTAGTATATTTTTCTTGTTTAGAATTAAATACTGAATTTCCACTGTCTATTTAGAGTCTGAAAATAACTTTCACCTGCAGTAAAAATGTCTGGTACTGACCAAACTCACTGTAATCAACAAAGATAAGTTAATTGGTAGTTACAAATTTGTATAAATATGGTCATAATTTTCAAATATATTTAAGGATGCACAGCTCAATTTGAAGTCAGGAATAGTCAGTCAACTTCTTTGAAAAATAAGACACTTTTTATTTGCTGTTCTTTCAGCAGTAAACTCACCATCTCTGCCTCAAATTTTGGAATAAACAGCTTTTATCAGAAGTAGGTTCAGAAGTAAACACGTCACTTGCTAACTGTGTGTTTTACTCTTAGGAAAAAATGTATTAAAGTATGAGCAGAGATAATTTCTCAAAAAGAGAAAACAAATTATGTAGCTATTTCCTGAACCTTTTTCATGCTTGCTTGACATTCTGAAACTCAGGATAATTTGTTTACATGAAATCAGAGTTTCACTACTAAGATGAATATTAACTTAGGCTAACAGCAAGCAAAATTATTAATGTATGTTTTTGTAACGGGTAGATCGAAGGGGTCTTAAAAGTACTGAAAAACTGATGGATATTTTGCATGCCTTTACTCTAGCATGGTATATCCTGAGAATACAGTTTTAGTATATTTCAGTGTTCTGATGTTACACTTGGCAAAAAAATGCATCTTTCTGTATTGGAAAACTTGTTTAAAAACAGATTATTTTGTGTTTTGGATGGAAACTCTTCTAGCATTAGTCTAATTGTTGAATGAAAAACAAATGCTCAAAAAGCATCCAATAATGAGCTAAGCCTAAGTCTGTGTTGACAATTTGTTGAGTTAAAAATCAAATTCCAGCTGGAGATAATGCCCCGAATCTGTTTTTGAAGACTGCTTGACTAAAATTAGAATATTGTTACAGTAAGACAGGTGAATAGATAATAAAACAAACGCTTCTCAATGTAGAAGAAATTAATAGCACAGTTTCCATAGCTGTGTAATATTGATTTCTGAAAGTGCATTCACTTCTGCATTCAATCACTTCTGTAACTGGTTCTGTCACTTGCATGTTAACGATGTATACATTCTGTAACACATCAAATGTGATGCATTTTAATGTGCAGAGTGATAAAATGGGTTATAATAGCTTGTTTGGTTATAATAGCTTGGTCTACACTTTGGCTGTTCAGGATTTAAGGCAGTGATTTTAATTGTCTTGGAAAGCGTGCCTCAATTCAGCCTATGGTGCTGCCCATGTTCTGTGGGCTCACAAAATGCAGCCCAAGACCACCTCACATTTTCTGCCTGTCCTATAACATAATCCCTCACCACTTTCTGCTTATATTATGTACTACTCTTAAGACATATGTATCCCTGCTTACTTGTTTTGCTTTGAATAACAGATCATCTACTACCTTTTCTCCAAGTTCTGAAGTCCACCTTGCTTTAATTTTGAAGAACTTAAAATAGCCTTTTATGTTTTGATCTCTGTCATCTATTGATACTCTTTCTTCCAAGAAAGAAAAACAATTAAACCAGCTTGTTTTGGTATTTGTATGTCTCCACCTGTGCCTTTTAATCCACCTTCTAATCCTATGAAAGACATTTTTACAAAGGAGCAGCTTTAATAGTCCATATGGCAGTTTTACTTACAAATCCTAGAAAATTAGGAAATACCCTAATCCTATCCACTGTGAATAAGGAATTAATATCTATGTGTTTGTGATAGATTGCTGGCTATGGTGTTGGATCAGAAGACAGCGTTAAAGGAGGCAAGCAAACTCAGCAAAATAGTGACCTAGATAGCAGTTTTAGGAGATAATAGGATAGCTATTTATTACTCCATCCTAGCTAAATTTGAATTTGTTTTTCTCCCAAAGGTTAAACTTAGACCAATAGTGTTAATCCATTGCAAGACTCCACACTAAAAAGTGACAGAAATGGGGCAAGTTTAATTCAATGTTACACAGTGAATATGGGTGAAAGTTAGCAGATTCAAAAGGGAAAAGCAACAGGCTTTAAGCAGGACAGTCTAATGCCAAACCCAGAAATGGATCTAAATGGGCTACATAGAATGTGCCAAAGATCGTCAAGAAGTTAAGGGTTAATCACCTTTACTGCCTTTATTTTTTACTGTTAGTTTTGCTTTTTTCTTGACAAATACATGCTTTTGTTTTGAAGATGCTTATTCTTTGTTACTGGGTAGTTACTCTACTGCCAGTGTATTAATCAAAATGCTTGCATGTGCCAAGCCCAGTCATATCTGTCACATGGATATACAGCTACAGAGTGGTTGAACTGTATGATTTCCTTCAGAGAACAATGAAAAAAAGCAGGAAAGCTTACCTTTGACAGGGTCTACTTAAGGGAAATAGATGTTTACAGCACAAGTTGCCCGTAATCATCATACCAGTTGTACCCATAGAAATAAACTAATAAAACACCTAAAACATCCTGCTCCCTTCTGTCATTGGTGCTCAACTGGCTTCAGCTGTAAGACTTACTTTAATATATCACAGCAGCTGTCTGTTTTCTGAATCATTGGGGAAGAGAAGAATAACTGCAGGGGGAGCTTGTTCTAACCTGAAGGCACTACTCTTGCCACCTTAATCCTGTTGGTCTTTATGTCTGAGAGACATGTATCCTGAATCAGTGTCACTCAGAGCAGGATTCTTCTGGGAAAGTGAGAAGTCATTCATGATTAGGATGTCAAAATTAAACTCTCTGTGTTCTCACTATGGATATGTCTCATTTAGAATCCAAGAATGTGTACGCTCCTTGCGTGCCTGCCCCACGCTTCTCTTGTTAATCAGGTTTTGATAGGATACATGAGTATTGTTGAGAAAAGCAAGCAAAGTTACTTTGGGGGGGTCCAGTTTGGGTGCCCTCCTTTATTCCTTGGATGAATGGTTTAGCTTTTCTGAACCTTTCCTTATGACAGGGAAAGTGAATTCTTACGGCCCCTTACTAAATGTTTTGGTTATTTTAGGACTATGAATGCATATCACTGCTTTTAAAAGTAGAAGGGGAAAGCACTTATGTGGACATACACAAATGAGATAGTTTCTGCATTATTATTTAATTGTGTAATCAATCTTGGAATTCATTATATAAAAATGCTTGGATTTCTTAATTTTTAAACCATTAGCTTTCTTAAAGGTGAACTGCTTTCTAAAACCCACCATCATCTGCTGCCAAAGCCCTACGTAAGACAGCTGGATAACACGGGTACTTAGTCACCAATCACATGCATGCAGTGGTATTTCACCTTTCTTGCAGAATCCTGTCTCGTACTAAGCAAACTTAAGAAATATTTTAAATTCATGTTTGGGCAACTTTCAAAAACTGAGTAGTTCTTGCAGCAGTGAATTGCATGAATTTGAAATGAAGTCTCTGAAGAAAGACTAATGAAGTCTGTGCATTTCTGTCCTACCCTCTGATCTTCTGTGTAGATTGTCTGACATTTAACATGTGAATAAGCCTTTTATTCAATGTATTCAAGGCTGTCAAGGCATTGTTAAAGGGTATCTTTTTTACTTAGCCACCTGTTTTCATGAAACATCCTCTACCCTCTATAAACTTTGATTGCTAATGGCCAACAGATTCAAAATTTAGTGCAAGGGAGAAAAATGGTACAATCATCTTTACGTTATTTTAGGAAACAAAAAAATACAAAATACTTGCATTGAGACAGTACACTGGATGTACGTATCTTGCAAGATCCTACAGAGCATGAATGGAATTTCATTTCTTTGCTGTTGTCTGTTCTTCTTTGTAATACAAACAGTAAGAAGGTAGATAGTTACTTCAGATTGTTTGTATTTAAATTATGTATTTTCTTCTGCACGTATTACTCTGAATAGAAGTTTTTCTAGCTATAGTGAACAGATAAACAAACCTAGCCTCTGACTTGATTTAAATTCACAGCAAATTACTGAGAGATTGCCAGTTAGGCTTTTCTGTATAAAATCCTGTATGATTTAAAGTTATATGACTAACATAGTTTCTTTCTAACCTACTATTCAAATCACAGTAGATGTAGTCGAAAGCCCTAGATGCAAAGGCAATTATTACTAAAATACAGCTGGAGGAAAAATACTGAGCAATACACCCTACTAGTGAAACTGCATTAAGCATAGTAACATTAAGCAATGTCAAACTACTGCCAGCTCATTTAGATATGATCCTTAATAAAACTCATTAACTCGCTGCTTGTTGTTGCAGTCTTTAATCCTAGCAAGAGAGCATTCGTAGCCCATGTTTTTCAACAAGAAGAATGATAAAGAGTGTTGCATTGTGGGCTCCCCTGAAAAATTATTATGTCTTGAAAAGACGTTCCCTCCAAGGCCTCTTTGACAACTCATGCTCTGTCACCTACCAACAAGCATGATGGAAAGCACAGAAAGTATTGTCTTTCACATTCAGTAGCCCTGATGAAGAAGCAGGTGAGGTCAGAAAAACTGTTTTGAACTATTCGTTTTCCAGTCTCTTGAGCGCTTGCATTTAGCAGCTGTAGTCAGAAGCTACATGCTTCAGACAGTTGCAAAAATGAGGTTCTTACAAAAAAACCTAAAGATGGCCATCATAATGCCTGCCTTTGCTTAGGGAGAGTTAGATGTGGTGCCACGGTAAAATGGTTAAATTTGAAACTAAAGCATGTGGAGAGTCAGGAGTTTTCCAGCTAGACTGACGAATCAGCATGCTGTTTGGGGACCTCTCTTGAAATTCCCTGGTAAAAACTCTGAGAAAGACATATCTGACATTTTGCTGCTTTTAAAGACTGGATCCAATATTGGGCATGGGCATCAAAGTAGGGTGTAAAATAAATTATATTAGTTTACAAGCTAAATAAGTCACCAGGTCAGTCACTGCCCAACTCAGGAGGCACCTTCCTTATTGCCCTGAAAGTCCTGGTAGTGCTCTTGCACATGACTACAGCTCTCCAGTCACTGAAAACAATTCCTTTGCCTAGAGGACTACTTACAGTCCACGAATAAGTTCACCCAATGTGATGGGTATTTTCAGAAAAAGTCCACGACACCAACATGATCAAACTGCTGCTCTCTTTAAAAATGCAAGTTGTGTTTACCCCTGCACAACTTGTCTGTAACAGAACAGCAGTTAAGACTTTAACTGAGGGAGAAACAGATCAAGGTTTTGTTCTTCAGGAATTTTGGATTGGCAGCCTCCACTTCTGCGGACTGCATCCTAGGAACAGCCTAGATGATAGTTAGTGTCTACTGTTGAAGCGGTGACACTGTGTAAAACATTTTAAGACTGGACCAAAAAGAAAGTCCAAGTATAGACAACTTTGCAGGTTGCTCACTATTCTAGCCCTCCATGGCCTCTTTCTAGATCCAGCTCAGTGTAAAACACCCAAGTCCTCCTTGAAAAGGTGACTGGAGTCTATGTCTTCTCTGCCAGCACAAGTGAATCAGTCACCTCTGTACACTAGGCTGTGGACGCATGTTTTCTCGGTGCTCTCCTAGATTGAGATTTGAGGGTTTTTTTCTGTACACTAACAGCACTCAAGGGATAGAAAGCATAGCCCTCACGCAAAAGGATCTCTAGACAATAGCTTCGTTGTATTTTTAGAGAGATGAACTTTTCTGGTATTCCACAGTATGACTGTTTATAAAAGGAGACAGCAGCCACTTCTTGTCCTATTGTGCTGAAAAAAAACCCCAAAAGCAAAGTTTACTTTCACAGGGCACATAGTTCTGCCTTGCGAGTCCCAAGAACGCCACCCTTGTCCGTGAGAGCCTGCTGGGGGCTGCTGGTGAAACACACAGGTGTGGAGCTCCACATCCCCAAGACGCACACGTCAAAGCCGAGGCATCTGACGCTTGGGTCCCTAGGGTTGCCACTGAATGTGGGTCTTGAGAATGACAAACTTGAGAGGAATTCAGGCTTTTAAATCCCACCTCAAGTGGCCATGGCTTAAGTAGTTCTGCAGAAGCACGTTTATTTTTACTTTACTTGCTTCTGCCTTTTTGCTTCTGCCAACATGTTTAGGATGTAGGAGTAGTTACGCAGATTCTAGACCTGCAAGGGAAAAAACAGGTGAGCAGAAGTTCTTCACATTTTAAGAGTCATTCGAGGGGGCATCGGCAACTGGTACTTGCCCACAAACAGGAAACCCTGGGACAGAGACAGAGTGCCCAGCGGAGTGGATGGAGCATGTCGCTGGGTCGGTGGGGAGCCGGGAGCCCGAGGAGAGAGGCCGAAGGTGGGGTTCATCTTCACCGAGGCGTGAGGAGCCGCGACAGCAAGCAAGCGGCAGAAACAGGAGGGAGTCCTGCCCGAGGG